ATTATGCTTTCACATTTGTTTCTTTCATTTCTTCCGTTGCTTTCGATTTCATGTACAAAATAAACATATTTGTTTTAAATGGAAATATTCTTCGTTATTTTATCTAGTTTGTCTATAACATTATGAATATCAGTTATATAAATATTTTCCCTTTTTAATGAAACGTAATAATAATATTTGCATATCTGTGTATAATTACATTTTTATTACGTAAAAGGTACTATAGTATTAATGAAAGTGGCATTTTATCTTTAATAGGCATCTTAAAAACTGGTATGGTTTGGTTTGGTTTATCTGATCATGGCAAAGCACTAGGCTGTTAAAAATTGAGTCACGTACCAAAACCACATATGATTCAAAGGAATTACTACAATTTTAAGTGAATAATTGCGTAAGAAATCTGCTTTAGAACTACTTTAGAACTTTAAGTGTTATTTATTACAATAACATAAATATACATTCTATTTTCTCATTAATGCGCGTCTGCTCCGTAATTGAATAAAATAACTGATATGATGATATAATTCTTGAGAAACATTGGTAATAGCTTCATAATTTAGGTTAAAATGACACGCCGAATAATGATTATTCGAAAAGTCAAAACAACAAGAATCAGCGTAATATTTGTAAATGTTTCAGGACTAGTTTCCTTGATTTAACTACAGAACCTTCTTCCTCAGCTGCCTAAGTGAAAATGAACGAGATAAGATAAGAATGGCTGGAAAGAAGTTAGCTACTGCCACCATCTATTGATAAAATAAGAAACTAAAACATAATTTTCTTAAGGGCTGAAGGTAAAGATGGATTGGAATTACGGTCGTTTTAACTAAAAAAGAAAGGAGGTTTTTTTTTTTTTTTTTTTTTTTTTTTTTTTTTTTTTTCCTTCCTTTCTTTAATTTGTCATTCCTTTCTTTCCAACGATTAGCTACAAAACTGCATGTCTTTTAGAGAAATTTAACTTTCGGTTGTGTTTTCTCCTATCAATAATGTTCCCAGTTTCATAGTTAAGGACCCGTTTCCGCATATCAATTCCTGGGGTATTTACAGGATTTCTTGCCAGTGTGGTTTATTTTACATTGGTCAACTAAGACAGCCTTAAAATTTCGCAAGAACATGGAGCATATGTTAAGAAAAAGAAAACATAAAAATCCTCTGTTGTCCAGAACTGTTGGTCATAAAATCACACTTTCCATTTTTCTGTAGCCGAAATTATTCGAAAATCATCTTAAATTGCCGAATTAGATTTTCTAGAGGCGTTTCACATTCAAAAGATCTTTCTGTTCTAGTTAAAGACCTTCATGCCAATCCATCTTTACCTTCAGCCTTTAAGGAAATTATGTTTTAGTCTTTTGCACTTAGGTAGCTGAGGAAGATGGCTCTATAGTTAAACCATCGAAACTAGTCCTGTAAATTCTACAAATATTAAGCTGATACTTGTTGTTCGATTTCTCCAGTATCTTCATAGCTTAACTATTGCTTAACAACTGATAAATGATGCAAATACTACATAATGAAATCCTTGGGATCTAGTATGGTGTAATTCAAATAATAAGAAATAAAATAAAAGGAATTTTGTTGTTGAAATTTTATATGCTTAAGATTTAAAAACTATGAAGAATTGGAAATTTCCACTTTCAATAAGTATAGTTTAATATTAACTTAAGAGCAGCAGTTATCTTTATATATATATAAGCGACTAAAGTGTGTGTCGCCGATAGTTTATTGTTGCCACTCAAAAAAATGAGCGCGGAAATTAGCGTTTCCGCAGTTTTTAATTAATATATCAACCGATTAAAGTCGTACGAATATGAGAACGGTATCGATGGATTCGGAGAATGTTTTGGAATCCGAGGATAAGCGTCTCGAATTTCAATCCGGCGCCGTTCCGTAGATAGAGAAAAAAGAATTTGGCCCGTAGCCAAATCCCTCTAATAGGGAAAATCCAAGAAAGAAAGTGGAAAATGTAGGGGAAAATTAGTTTTTAATTAATATCTCGGCTAATTAAAGTCCCAAAAAGAAGCGAATGGTCAAAATGGCGTGTCACGGACCTGCGAAATCCAACGGTGTGCTTCGCTAAGCCCGAGAGCCAGTCGTTTCGGAGGAGATGATGTTACTTCTCCCCATATATATATATGCGGCTTAAGTGTCTGTTTGTCGCCGATAGTTTATTGGTTGCTTGCGAACTGTACTAGCCGATGGGGGTGAAGTTGCCACGGCACAGGGTTGCCGTTTCAATTGAGACGTAGACAATTTCCTGTAAAACTTAGCTTTGCTATGACCATTCATAAGTCTCAGGGCCAAACGCTTAAGCGTGTTGGCATTTTTTTTACCTGAGTCTGTATTTGGACACGGTCAACTTTATGTTGCATGTTCAAAAGTTCGTGAAAGAACGGACGTAATATTAAAAATATTGGATGGTCCTCTGCAAGGCGAGCTTAAAAATGATGGAAAGATCTACACAAGAAATGTTGTGTACAAAGAGATCTTTGACATGTGAATTAACATTTCATTATTTAAATCACCTTTATTGATTGAGCTAGCGGTGGGCTCTTAAGAAATGTACCGCCAGTGGTTTCGTTCATTGTACTCTACTTTAAGCAATTAAGCAAGTAGAAGGGGAAAACCCCGTGGGGCAGTAAGCATAGGTGCGTCCTCGCCGCCTGCCCTGGTTAATTCAGTTTAAATTAGCAGACACATTTGCACAAATCCTTTTAATTACAATTTATAATATCTAGAACAGTGGTCATTTCGTATGACCGCCGGGCTTTCTAGTAATAAAAAAATATAGCTTTTACTTTTTAAATTTCTAGTAATAATAATATAGCTTTCTAGTATATAAAATATGTGCCTTTATAGTAAAAATAAATCATTTAGGAATTTTGTCTAATGTTTATGAGCGAAGAATTTTTTTAATTAAATTAAATTACATGATGTATATATGCTGACAAATCAAAATTAGATTAGTGTACGTCTAGCTTGTGTCTTATAAATTAAAAATTCTACATTTAATTTAATGTTGATCATGTTATAGATTTTAAAGTGTTTTGTTTAAGACAACCGATGATAAAATTTACGTACTAATAAATTTTGATATTTTTTGAAACGCCAAGGTATTTTTATATAGTCGGGAAGGTAAGAATAAAGTTTAGATAGTTTCTTTCTTTCCAAAATTAACATTTAACTGTGCATAAAACGTTTGGATATTTTTAATCATCAGAAATTAACAGTCGTCAAGAGAGCAATCTCAATATAGTTTAAACCAGTTCGTTATCCTCGAAATTACTTAACTGCGTCTGAAAAAGAATGGAGACTTTTAAGAGAAATGAATGGCGTAAACATTAAAGCCGTTATTAATGTAATTCAAACAGAGAAAATCTCTCTCTTTTCGTTAGTTTGGACAGGTTTCGTTTATTTGATTACGGCAAAGCTATCTTTAGGTTTATCTGTCTAAGGGAAAGGATGCCTTCATGAAAGATTTTCCAAGGGAACTGGCTCGTTTACTCAACTCTCTTTCCTTTGAAAAATGAATAATCTAAAATAGTACTTAGGTCTTTAAAACAATATCTCTTGAAGATAAATAAAAATGGTACTATTCGGTTTTGAGGGCCGTAAAAAATCGCCAAACTTTTGTTGATGCCAGTGCTTCCAAAAATAATTACGGCAACCCTAACGCAAGAAAGGAAGTATAATAGTAAATAACTATCTAAGATTGATGTTTTAATTTAAATGAAAGATTAATTTCATATAATACTTTTTTTATGTTATAATTTATATATAAAAGGCTAAACATGACTGAATGGAAGCATAAAAGTAAATAACTATTCAGATCATTATTATAATTTAAGTATATAAAAATTGCTAAACATAACTGAATGGATGCCTGCATCGCTATTTCGCTACCGAGTTATCGCTAAAGCATAATGTACATCTCGTTGGCTTGTTCAAACATAATTTTCTATAACATGAATGATGCCTTTTCTTTGAAAACATTCTCGGTAAAGTGCAGAATTCGCCCACTTATTTGTTTGCCGCTTTTTACAAAGGTAAAAAAACAATTGGATTTTTGTCAATTTTCTTTCACTTTTTAAGTGTCAGTAGGTCGAATGTGTACATAGGATAAAGTCAAGGGTGTGCGCAGGGCCATTTTTGTGCAATTCCGGGATTTTTTTTTTTTTTTTAAATGAAAATAAGTCAGGTTGTGTACATGGATACCGAGTATGTGCAATTCTTAAAAACGCGTCAAGCAGTGGGTGATTCTGCACTTTACCCAAAATTCTATTGCAGACTTTTCGTCATGGGCAATTCCCAAATTGTTAAATCCTATAGGTATAGCAAAAAAGGATCTAAAAAAAAAAAAAAAAGATTTAAAAATTAAACTAGTATTTAAATGGCATCTTAAGAAATATAGAACTGTATAAACTTACGCATTACGCAATCTGAAATCAGCGCGTACGCTAAATTTGGCACGCTATTAAATGGGCGCGTTTGCGCATACATTTTCGCTGCAATTTTTTTACGGCCCTCAAAACTGAATAGTACCAGAAAAAATTATTCTTTAACCAAGTTTAAAGAAATATTGTGCTTAACTTCGATATGCAGAATAAATGTTCAGTGCACCAGTGTTTATTTCCCATTTTCTGAATTTCTGAATTTTATTTGATGTTTAAATAAACTTGGATACCCCAGTTTAATAAATTAACCACATTTGGCTTCTGAAACAATTTACGATCTACTATGCTGAATTTTGAGTAAATGTAAAAAAACTTACTGTGAATCTATATCCGATACGGTAAATAAGAAATCACCAAAGTCAGATAATTATACGAAAGAACATATAATTGATATGAAACTTATTGAAAAATTTAAAACATTAAAGTAAATTTATCAAAAAGAATCTGAATTGGACTTTTGTCATTTTTACATGATTCGTGGGGCATTATTTGTAATAATATATTAGATATTTTAATTCAGTGAAGCTAAGTAATATAATTTATACTTACTCAAGTATTTTATGCAGTGCTGTTATGGTCACCTGATCAAGCTTTATTTTCTTTTTATTTTTAAACTTTCCTTCTTGTGCCATTTTTCTGAAAGTTTCACTATGTTCTGTAAGTACACTTTGAAGCACTTTCACTGTATAAACCCCATTCGGGCTATTCTCTATAATTAGAGATATACCTTTATCTTTATTCCCGGAACTTCTTAGTTTAAAATATCGGGACCACATCCTAAAAGAAAATTAAAAATTAAACCTCAGCCAGAATAATATTTTAGCATGATTATTATGTTTATCTATATTAATAAATTTAATTCAATCAGAAAACGGGTAATCGATTTTCTTATTTAAAAAGAAAAGAAAATGAAGAAAGAAAAGAAATTTAGCTTAAATTTTATCATATTTTAAATAGCAACAAAATAATGGTAACTGTTTCATTGCGTAAGAAATCTTAATATTAATTAAGATTTCTTACGCAATGAAATAAAAACTTAATATTAAAATTAATTTAATATTTTTAATAGTTATAGTAAGGTTGCTATCGATGGGCCAGCTCCTTCGTTGTGCCACCTCCATTATTTTCTAGTTAAGTGGTTATCACATCCAGAGACAGTCCCCGCTAGACGGGACTTTTCTGAGAGAAACGAGATTCTGGTAGCACTGGTTTAAACGAGAGGGTTCCTAGAAAGAAACAGCTCCTTGGAAGCGAAATCCCGTCTAGCTACGAAAACAATGTCCCGGCTAAGAGGGATATTTTGAAACTTCGCCAAAAATGTTCCGTGCAGCTGTTTGTCCCGAGTAGAGATCAACCAAGCAGACGAAAGTCCTGCTTCTGAAGGATCACGCGATCCCAACCTAAGCGATAATCGATTACTGTTTGACGTTCAAGTCTGTTTAGTAAGTGAAAATGGCAACCGAGCTACGTAGATTTCGTGGAAACGTGCGGGTTCTGAGAAATGTCCCTTTCGACGTCCAGTCCCGCGTAGTGGAAGCATATGTGATAGAGACTTTATTAACAGAAGACGTAACCAGTTTATTGCTTACTACATGAAGCTTGAAAAACCACCATCTTGATTGGGAGAAGATCCACTCTCAAGCAAAATTTTTTACAAGAAAATAAGATTTTTATGCTTTTCTTCTAATTCATCAATGTAAAAAAATATAGAAATCAGTAAGACGTTAATAGTGTTTTAGTTGTTACTGATAACATTTAAAACTGTTTTTAAATCAGCGTTATTTGGCCATTTTAACAATAGTTGTTTACTGAAATCATGGAAGTTAAGTGTTAGTGTTAAAGGGGCCATTGCATTCAGACGCCAAAATTGGCTACTTATCGCCCAAAATGTAACATAAAAATCTGAAATGTCGCCAAAGGTTTACACTGTGGCCGCCTTAACACGAAGTACCAAAAAAAAAACTGCTATGAGAATTTGTAAGATGTTTTTAATAAACATAGTTTAGAAAAAGTATTTATCACTTACCTAGAACCAACAGCGTAATTTTAATAATTGCGTTAACAGTTATTTCAAAATCCTGTAACAAATTAAACGCAAATTAATATTTGATTTAAAAGTACTGAATTTTCTTCGTTTAATAGCATAAATACTTTCACAATTTACACATTCCGTTAAAATAGCAAAGCATTTAATAAATTCCACAAATAAAGAATAATGATAAAATAGTTCATTTTGTTGAGGATTGGAAAATTTTCTAAATAATACTGAAACTATAAACTGTTAAAATGCGTCATAATCTCTATAGCTCTTTTAATACATAACTGAACTTAAAACAACCGAAACAGCTTAGATAAAAGACAAAAATAGCCAACAGATCAGTTTTAGAATTTCGAATACTCACCTAAAAACTCGGATTACATCTAAAACAAATGTTTAATACTTGAAAAGCTGTTGATTGTTACAAAAGTAAATAATGAAGTTGCGCACAGTAAAGTTAGATTCTGTCATCAGCTACAAAGAAAAATATAAAAATTATAGCTTTTATTATGAGTAATCTCTACATATAATAAAAGAAAGAGTCTGTCTGTGTGTGTGTCTTTCGTTCGCGCTGCACGTAAAACCTAATAGACCCACGGCTACGAAATTTGGTACATAGGTGCATATAGACAAAAGCCAGTGCACCTCGAAACGATGTTTCGAAATTCGAATTAGAATTTTTTTATTTTATGTTTTGTGACGAAATCACGTCATTATGAGACATAATGGGCTATAGGAAAGCGAGATTTTACTCTACACACTCCATTTTCACATCGTCATGAAACGTAGGCACTTAGCTATTTTAAGAACTTAAAATAAATTTCGTGTTTCAATAAATCGATTCAATACGAATTTATTTAACAAAGGGAGCTTAACACCTTTTCAACGCAATTTTTTCTAAAACAGTTTATTTTAAAAATGTACAGCTTATTTTTCTTTCATTTTTGGACACGTTAAACTTTTATCCTTGCGACTGCTTTTACAAAAAGAATTATGGAAAAATGATAATATTTTGTATTTATAAATTTTTTTAGCTGAAGCTTCCGAGTACACTTCTCACATCTCACATCTTTAAAAATGTGATTTTGGCAACAATTTTCCTGCCTTATTGTTGTTGATAGATTTTTGATGAAATCGCATCATTTTGAATAGTTTCATTCTTTTAGAAATATGGGTTTGGCAACAATTTTCATCGTATTTCTTATGTCACTGTTTTTAAGATATTGGCATATTTCATTGTCATTTTGATATATATATATAATACATTTTTATTGATTTTTTTTTAATTTAATTTTTTTTTTTTTTTTTTTTTTTTATAAAAGTTGTTCTGTAGAGTAAAATTCTGCGCGGAATTTTGTTTTTTTAGTTGCTTTCATGTTATTTTTGCTTATTTCACTGCTTGTACGATATTGAAAAAGTTTTGCATGATTTTTTTTCCTTCAACGGAAAGTTGGTTAATTTTTTTATTAGGATAATTAATATTTGGTCTAATCTTTGGAATATGGTAACAGGTAGTTTGGCGACATTTTGGTAAGGCGATAAAGGTTACTAGCTAAGACTTTAATAATAATTTGAGAAGTTCACAGTTCCAGTCACAGATTATTTTGTGGTGACTTTTATAATAGATAATCCTTGGAAAGTGTATATGCAAGCTGAAGATATAAAAGCTTGCATAGTACTTTTTAGCGATCAGGTAATTTCATACATGTCCTTTTTATCGACTTCAACGATTCACAAAATTTTCCTGCATTTTCGTGCAAATTTTTCTATTTTATGAGAAAAATTATTTACATGTTTCATATATAAATTTGCTCTGTAAAAACAAATTTCTGTGCACGTTTGTTCGACTACTTTCCGGAAACTTCCGATCGTGATTTTAGCTAATAAGTACTTAGAAACAATTTCGCACCTAATCTTCGTCATGATTAAGCACTTTTGTTCCATAAAAGTTCTAGCATAAGCGAAATTCGGCTAGCAGATTGTTGGAAAAAATGTTGAGTAAAAACAAAAACATGTCTTTACTTCGTGAAAACAAAATGGCGTCAAAAAAAACAAAAAACTAGCAGGTTGCTGTAGCAGGGTTGGTCGCCAAATTTTCGCCAAAAAATCGCCGAGTTACCATAATTCGAAGATTCACCAATATTTGTATTAAGGGATATAGCTTATTTCATTGTAATTTTTTTCTCCTGAAAATATAAGATAAAATATCATTAATTATACTTTGCTTTTCAGAATTTTTTGTTTTTTGTATTATTTTATGTTATTTATTGTCCATTTCACTGTTTTTAAGATATTAAAAAGTTTTGTGTGATTTTTTTAGGAAACAAAATTCTTAACCTCCTTTATACCATTCGAGTTCTTAAGATTTTGCAAAGGGAAGTTAGTTAATTTATTTATTAGAATAATTAATATTTGTATTAAGGGATATTGCTTATTTCATTGTAATTTTGTTATACGTAATAACTTTTTTTATGAAATTGTTCTGCAGAGTAAAATTCTAGGTAGTTTTTAAATTTAACGTTTGGTCTTCGCTTCAGCCGTTTTTCCGGTACATTTTAAAGCCAGACGAAGGCTGGCAGCGAAGCTGCTACTACGTAGGAACAATCATCGTATTGGTCTCTATTTACTGCACGCAAAAAAAGCATTCTGTTCTCGAATTCAGTACGAAATATAAATTGTTTATTTTATACTTAAATTTGTTTATTTTATAATGAAGTATGTGAGATGGAAATATTTCACACGTTTAAAAATTTAAAACATTAATATTAAAATTTATGAAAAAATTTATCAAAAATTTATCAAAATGCTTGAATTCGCTAACATTTGATTTTTATATATTCTCAAGGTATACGAAATTTTCTGTCATTTCATATGAATTCAGATATATTAAAAATGTATTCCACTAAACTGAAACCTAAAATTAGCTTAGAAATTAAATTAAAAAAGGATCTAAAACTGATTTTTAAATTGTAAATCATAACTAAAAATTAATTCGTACTCGTATGTTTACAATACATTCATTCTTATACGTCGAATATGCATGCTAAAGTATACACTAAAACAAAACCTTCAGTATGCATGCCGAAGTATATACTGAACACGTATTCATTTGTTATAAGTTTTCAATAGAAATTTTTAAAAAAATTGATACAAGAGAAAAGGTAAACGCTTTTGGCTTCTTCATTTTCTTTCAAATTTTCATTTATTAAGCCATAGCAGAAACTTTTCAGAATTAAATTTTCTATGATATCGTAGATCAGTTAAAATACAGAGTATCATCTCATTAAATTAAACCTAGTACGATCTAATCAATAAAAATGAGTATCTCTTCATAAATGTATCATCTTTTTTTGACTTCTTTTATTTATTATGCAAATAAAACTGCTATACAAATAAAACAGTTTAAATGAATGAAAATTAATTAAATATCCAAAATCTAAAAAGCACCTTTTTTTGGTATACGGACGTCTAAAGGATATATAAATATATTTTATATATTTTATAGAAACTTATAAATTAAGGATCCTTAGTTGAGATGTACAGATATAATTCTGAGTGGGTTCATCTGGAAATATAACCCATGAAAAAATTACCAGTGTTCATTAATTTTATCCTATGAACCACAGGTATGTCTCAGAATCTTATAAGTATTATTATCTATAAGTTTTCCGTTTTTAAAGATTATAATTTCTATTTTAATATAAAAAATGCAGAAAACTCACCTAATCTTTCTGCTTGAGTCAAGGTATTAATGTCCAAGTCAAGATATCCAAGCCAAAGTGTAGATGTATTCATCTATTAATTATTTTTAAACGTTTTCAAAACTATTGCTTAGATTAGATTAACTACATATAAGGTTTTGTCAACAAAATATTGTTTACATAGTTCATCAACATTATACTAGTAACTTGTAAAAACATTCATAAATATTATTAAACTTTCATATCCTTGTGACATAATGTTAGCAAGCAAGCAGTATGATAAATGCTACTTTTGCTTTCAATCGGTCGTGCGGGCTAACGTTGGTTATGAGGTAATGATAACGATGACGCCAATGTTTTTTCAGAGAATGTTCTTTCCATTATTTAGGAACATAATAACCTACGATATTTTTCTCTTATCGATTGTTTACGGTTCATGATATCTGATAAACTATATCTGCAGATAATTGAAGTAAAGCGATGTATTAAGTAATTACAGATCTCAAAACTCAGTTGGTTATTTTCAATATAATTTACAGCATCAACGTTCAAGGTATATGTTTCTAACATTTTCTGAGTTAATATTAATTTAATATAACAAATCTGCACATCTAAATCAAGGTAATGAATTCTACCCTTTAACCTTTTGCGGTACAGTGTGTCCAATCTGAACACACCTAAAAATTTCCTTCTGTACGCACAGAAAAATGAATGAAAAAGGATTTATAGGTTACTATAGGTTACTCTGAACCTTCTTTATTTATAGTAGATGGCAGCTCAACATAAACCAGTCCATATATTTTAGCTATGTTCAGTTTTTTAAAACCCTCATTTTCAAAGAAATCTTCCAGATTTTTTAGGGTTTAAAAGGAATTGTTTGAAAAGAAATTTCTATGTTATTATTTTGGCCGGATGCTAATCTCCTTATTCTATATTAGTTTTAAATTTTTACCTTGAAAATCTTGCCTAAAATCAAACGGCGAACCCAAGGTGTGCCCAGACCGGGCTCACCGATAAGCTAGGACAGCTGAGAGTGTGTATTCTTTGTTTCTCCGCATCTCATCGTCAGTTCATTAACAACAATGCTCGTTTCAGCACTCTTTTCGAAGCTCTATTCAATCAGTGTGCCCACTTTGGGCCACACCCAGAGAATTAAAACGATAAGTGCTATCTTCACAAAATTTTACTTGTGTACTCCTCTAGGTTTAATTAGAATGCCTACGTTTTTTTTTTTTTTTTTTTTTTTTTTTTTTAAATCAAAACTTCGACTTAAAAAGGTAGCGTGCCGGAGAGGGTTAAAAGTCAAACTTCTTAAATTGATGATAATCATGTGGGATTGAGATTTGCCGAAGGAATGCCCATTGTTCAGTTGTTAGGTTCAAGCTAGAAGTCTATGGTATTGCTTTCCCTGCAATTCTTTTCATTCTTACAGTTTGAAAAATTATTAGTTTCGCACAGAAGACACTTTTGTGTAGCCACAAAGCGAAAAAAACCGTTTATGCAGTATTTATCTTGTCTGTTTTATACAGCTCACAGTTTAATGAATCTGGCATCAATCAAAAGTCATTGCTAAAATAAAAAGAGCAGCTTGGATAAAGAGAGCAGTGGTAACTTATATGCTCTCTATTATGTAAACCAAACCTACTCTGAGTACCATTAGCGCCAGCGATCAAATAGGGATATATTGTTATTCACATAAACTGTATCTAGATATTAAAACTGAGAGGTAGCTGTGAATGTTACCTAAGAAAGAAGTTTTCCAAGAAAGTTCCATAAGTGATGGGAAAAGTATTCACTCTTCGAAGAAGTCTGAACGGCTCAGAATTCATTGCCTGTACATCTCAGAATTCAACCGTTAGACAGATGCATCGAGACTATGAATTACCGTACCGCACCAATTATTCTGTGTGTTTATGGAGAACCAATGCCTAATACAAGAATTTTGCAGTTATTGGGCTCAGGAGGGCTACACAGAGCGACGCGTGGAATATCAGCATCCTCCTTTCATCGATAGCTTAGATGACAGACATCTTGTCCGCATCAGTCTTAAGGACTGTAAAGCAACATAACCGAACTTGGGTCAGGAAATTGGGTGCCTTTCACAGCACCAAGAATTCGCATGTACGGTATGACGACGTTTGCTACCCCACAGATTGTCACCAAGCTGGCAATTACTTGACCTTCCATAAAATGCCACAACACAGCCATCAGCACTTACAAAAATGTGTTCAGTGATAGCGTAACGTTGTCTCGTAACGTCGCTGAGCCGGTATTCCAGAGGTTCGATTCCCGGCGAAGACGTTTGATAATTTTTCAGTTCTCCTGCTTCCAAAAATATACCTAATGTCTCTACAAAGCAATCTCTGACTAAAGCAATCTCGAACTCACACTTAAATTTATGGGAGCTAATTTGTATTGTGGCATGAAAACGGAAAGACAGTGACAGTACTAGTGACAGTACATTCGTAATATAAAATAGTTAATTAACATAGCTAAATCTAACATCTTTTTTTGTTTGAAGACTCAAGTCTCCTCGTCAACAACGGACTCTTGCCCTTGAATCCCTGAATTTTATACACCTATATCTCAACTGCTAAAAGAATTTGAATTATTCTTAAAACTGTGTATAATATAGCAAATAATTGAGGTGAATGAAAATATTGTAAACGCTTATAATGTTACATTTCTTTTCCACATTTCACTTACAAATTGTCAAATGCACTGAAAAATCATCATTTTTGTAAACTTTATTTAGTTCCCTCATGGTGCTTGTGGCTGAGGTCAAAGGTTTGTAAATGACTTTTAAACTACTTCTAGTTCACAATCTGGGCACATACTGTTTGTGGATGGCAGCAGTGGTGAAGATTTTTTTTTTTTTTTTTTTTTTTTTTTTTTTTTTTTTCAAAATTCTATTTAGATTTTTTTTTAATTTAATGTTGAAACGACGTTTCGCACATAACTTTCTTTAATGTAGCAACTAACATTCACAGAAATTACTCTTATCACCACTGCATAATGTAAAAAATCTTTTAAAGGAAATTTGTATGATTTTTTTGGGTAATTTCTGATATTTTGGCGACTTGTGCTGCTTCATTTTTTTCGACTACTTGACGTTTGCGATTTTAAAACTTTAACATCTAAAAATGCATCGATTAGAAAGTTTTGAAATGTAAGTTCTGAAATTTTTTGAAGGTTATAAAATAAATTCTGCACCTTCTTTTAAAACAAAAATGATGAAACGATAATACGTAGGCGATTTTCTAATTGTAATATGCTACTATAGGAAATTACGCTACAATACAGGACAGAAAGTATCTGTTCTTCAGTTTCAAGGATATGCTATCATTATACGTCACGTAATTTTCTATAAAAGTAAGTTATGATATAGTTAAATGGGAACAAGAGATTAAATAATTCCTTTTACGAAATTCATCTACACTTTTATATCCGGAGTAATAAAAACGTGGGTGCCTAAGTAACAAAATTGAATAATCGAAGTGCATTGTCAAAAGCAGCCATTTTCTTCATAAATTTATCAAGCGTTTGACGCTTTTAAAACTCGTGATATAAAATTGTAGATGAATTTTGTAAAAGGGATTATTTAATGTATTGTTCCTATTAAACTACAAGATAAATTATTTTTCCCCTTTTAGCTTAAAGAGTCTCTTCCGTTTAGGTAGCATTAACTAATGACCTCTTAAAAGACTGTATGGGGAATTATTCCCAGGTTTTAGAACAACAGAAAAAGTCAGAAAAGGTGTGTAAAGAACCCTTTATTTAATCAAATAAAATTAAACAGTTGGCCCAATTGGGTTTACATAAAGCCAACGCTTTTGAATTAACAGGTAATGTTGAACGTAAAATAAAATGTAATTAAATTAGCCTAATGCCTCGCAGGATAAATTAACACACAGGAAGGCTCTGACTCGTCGAAACCGGCGGAAACAAGGTTATGGCTAGAAGCACTCAACGCCACAGAATCAAATCGCTAGTGATTCAAAATAACAATGTGGCCTTTCAGTAGGCGTAACATGTCATAAAATCACCTTCCAAAACCTTCACTTAAATAGCACTTTTTTTTCCTCAATTTGAATACATACGCGCTATCTCATTAGCATTCTGGCAGGAAAGCGTGGGCGAAAACGAAAGTGAAAGGAAAATTTCTTTAACTAAAAATTAACTGTTAGTCAGTCAAACTAAATAAATCTCTAGAAGCTCATTAGGCCCATCTCATACACGAATTTGTTTCCCACGAACACCTTTTCCGGACAATTTTTCTGCCTTGTTTACTACTGAGAGAAAGACGTGCTATTTTTTCCTTCCTTTCCAAAAAAAAAGAAATTTCAAGTTGTTCGTTTGCAACCAATCAGTTATCAGCTTCGAATGTTTGTCAGCTTGTTTGTAATGAAGAACCTGTTTCCACTGAGTTAATCCCAAAATGATCTATGGTGACTGGCTGTTGTGACAAAGCAGAAAAATTGTTCCAGAAACAACAAACGGATGTACGATAGCAGCTTTAATCAACTTTTAATTTCATTAAGAATAAAAGCTTATTTTATGAAATTAATAAATAAATAAAAACTGTTTTTAAGAATGTTTAGAATTATTCCATAAAGAATCTCAACTTAATAATGTACCGTAAAATAGCAAACAGATTCTAATTAATATCCTGTGAATCCGCCCATGACACAGCGCAGGAAGGAATCTGTTCTCCTTGACACAGTATCACTGTAAGTTTCCTTATCTATTTTTCATTTCACAAAGTCAATAAGCTAAACGCTTTTTTTTTTTATTTTTTTTTTTTTTATTTTTTTTTTTTCTTCCCCCAAATGAAGGTATACTTGACTTTTGTTGCTTAAAAGTAGTAGTAAGTTATCTTTTAATAAATAAAAAAACTTAGTATATACAGGATATATATATAAAAAAATGACGCGATTAAAAATATCTCTCGAGTGTTTGATCGCAGATCCGCGGCTCCAATTTAAGAAATGAATTAAATGTGATAGTTCAGAGAGCGATAACTTTAGTCACATGCTTCTTTCGATAAAAATTTATTAAACACAATTTTTTATTACGGGCTCAATAGAGGAGGAAATTTCAACCAGAAAAGTATTTCCTGTGGTCAAATTAGAGCCTCAAATGCGGTAGAGATTATTTCAGATATCATTTATTAAAATTTTAGAGTTCAACTTAGATTCGAGTTCCGATAAATACGAGCATAAGCACGAGTAAAATACATAAATACGAAGGTCACTCTGAAATTTTTGACATACACATAGGTTTTTAAAGTTATAGTTTCGAAATTTTAGGCGTTTTTCTTTTCCAACATCGGTGAACTTCTGTAGGAGAATT